TACCCATGAATAACTTAATGTATCTAATTATATGAACATTTCCCATTTTTTTTCCCCTGGGGCTTCTCGTACAAATTGTTCCTGTGAAAACGCGACAGATTTGTCGGTGCAGGAGATCTGTTGCCAGGTTAGCCAGGGTTATAACCTGAGCATGCTGGTTATTCTTCGTTAAGGCTATCATGTGTAAGATTTTGTTTTGTACTTGGAGTGCCTTTTTGCTGGTTTTGCATAATTGGCTTCCAGAGTGAATTTAACTGAGCTGCACAAAGGGATTCTTGGTGTGGATTATTCCTTGCGCAGAGATTTAAAGCTCAGTGGCCCTTCTGGGCTGTTTCCGTGAAGGGACAAGAACTCAGGGAAGTTGAACTGATTTAATGAAAGCAGTAGAGTTAATGAGGATTGTGTCCTCTATGGATCTTCACTTTGAGAGGGTGGATGATCTTGATACTGTAATCCCTTTACAGCATAAGGTCATTTTACTTCTGCACAAAGTTGTTCTCACAGAGGATCAATACACTTGGGTACATGTATGAAATACTTTCTTACCATCAGGCTTGCCTTTGCAGTCTAGCTGGTTTGCTGTTTCAGAAAACTGTTAAGTGTCAGCAAATCACAGCTTTTTGCAAGATGAGGATCTTTATTTGTCCCATTCATGGTAGATATTAGGCTCAAAAAAATGGGCTGATTGGCTAATAGTGGATCATAAAGAAGAATATATATTTGTAACAGAAATGACGTGTTTGAAAATTGGCTTTAATTGATTTAAAGGAAAAATGAAATAAGAGGAAAAACATTTGGGGCTTTTTGGCTGAGCAAAGCAAAATGGCATCCTTCAGCTTTTTTGACACAATTTTTGTCATGGTTCAAGTTGAAGTACTGATAAATGAAAAAACCTCTTTATAGCACTGAGAAATATTAGCCAGGGGGGTGATTAGCTGTTCAAATAAGAGAAGTTCAGTTAAACACTCTAAGCAGACTAGAGTTTTGGAAAATATTTTTTTTTAAATGTAGTGTTTACCCTTGCTAATTAGCATGAGAGGGAAGATTTATGTTTTGTGCCTGTTTTTATATGTTAACAAGGCATTGGATGTTTTTGATTATACACTTTGGAATGATGCCCTGTGACTTTGTAAAGCCATCAGATATTTCAGTAAATAGGTTTGTGTACAAGGGACTGCTCAGAAGAATTATTCTGAATTAATGTTTTAAAATAGATTCATTAATTTGCATTAAACTTGTGTGTGGAAAAGCTAATCTGGAATTCAGGTGAGTTTAATTTAGTTGCTTACAAATATTAATTTACTTAATTAAACAAAGGCTACTTAAATTCTGTGTTAAGTGTATCCGTTCTGAGTAAGAGTATTGGCAGAGATATTTCGTGCACTTTACATAATCTGCTTTAAATTTATACCTTTAGTTGTCTGTAGTTTTTCTGAGTGTTGCAGTACTAGAGCCACCTCCTAGCAAGTGGTTGTAGGAATGCCTAGGCTTTTTGCTCACCTTTTTGGCTTTCTATCTGAATATGGAAAGCCAGGAATGGAGAGGATTGTTTGTCTTTACTTTCAACTCATAATACATAAATAGGGAAATTAATATTTTAAAGTTTTGATGGGTGATGAAATAGACTGTCTTTATTATTAGAGGATTTAGTTCTATTACTCTATATTGATTCTTGTTCTATCTTGGAATCTTAGTACTGTTTCCTCAGATTTTGAAAAAATATCTTTCCTTTGAGAGATAAGAAAGAACTAATGCAGTATGTTTGCTATGTGTGATTATTTCCATTATTCACCATGATTAAAATGTGAGACAATTTTTAGTATGTGCTGTTCTATTCAACATGAATGGATTTCTGGTGGGCTTAGTAGGCAAGGATTATGAAAGCAGTGTCTGGCCTGGGTTGGGGAAAGGGTGGACAGTAACAGAGCTCATCTGAAGGGTTAGAAACATTTGAGGGAACTGAGATTTGAAGGCACCCAGGGCTGAAGTGGGAATGGAGGTGGGAGGAAATCCCTGTGATACACACCGTAACCTGTTTTTCAGTTTTTGCGTTGGGTAAGAGTTGAAGCAACCTCTCCCAAGCCCCGAAAAAGCCCTCTGGGGGAAGTGAGGAGTGCAGTGTAGATCCACCTACATAGCTTAGCTGGAGTCACTCTGGGTTTGGCTGGCCAAGGCCTCCCGTAGTGTATGTGTTAATGAGATATTTTCCATTGTCTGGTGTAAGCTGTCTTCCCATACCCCTCCCCCAGATAATGGCAAATGGACTATAAAATACTGCTCTTTGATCCAACTTCCACATGCTGGTTGGGGAAGAAAAAGTGGGCACGTATTTACGTCCCTGTTGTAGTTTATCCTTGGCTTCCTGACTTTCTGTTAATATTTCTTTCTTACAGCTTAATACTTGTTCCAGGTAATATTTCAGCATTGGCTTCTTAATGCCAATGTACACATACTTAATTTAGAATTAATGGGGACTAGGGTTTCAGGCAGAAGAAAGAAGAAAAAAAAAAAGTCTGGGAACATACAGCAAATTTCAAGAAAAGTGTTTTACATGAGGAAATGCTGGTAAATACTTCACTGAGTAACATACGTGGAAACTATATTGGCAAAGTTTTTCTGAATTTGTTGACTGAGGATTTTTAAAGCTGATAAACTAATCTAACTCTAATCCTGTTAAATTTTATCGGGCTTTTACCCTTGGTTATAAAAGCAAGGTTAGACCACTGCTGAAATTTTCTATTATAAATTGAAATTCTGAATTTGGAAGAGGGGCATTTTATTCAAGCTGTGATAGCTGCTGTGGTTGCAGTACCCAGTGTAGTTTATTTGGGCATTGCTTTCCTAATTCACACTTCTAGAGTTAATAACAAATTTATTTGTTTTTCCCTTATGTTGTGATACAGGAGCTTACAGCATCTGGTGACAGCAGAAGTGTATTTTGTTCTGTGTGTTGAGAAGGCAAAAATTCCATCAGGTTGTTGGCTAATTGCCTATGAGCTGTGTCTGCCTTACTGAAATTGTAATAAAATTTGTTTAAATGGAAATAAATACTGATGTTATGAAGACGCATTGCTGTGTATGTGTGGTAGCTGTTTTGCCAGTTTGGTTGGCTTGCCCTTGTTTCAAGGCTCTGTGACAGAATGTTTTGGTACTTCCTCTCTGATGTGAAGTTGAATAATTTCAGACTGTGAACCATGAGAGGTGGAGAACATGTCAGAAGTGTGAAATTATTTTTTGTTTGTGTGGAAGAAAGGTTTAAATAATTTCAGTGATCTTTTTATAATGAATTTTGGAAGGCTAAATGTGTGCATCGCATGAAGTATTCAAGTGAATTTAAAGAAAAGCATTGCAAATCCTTTGGAATGTTTTGTAAAATATTGATGTGTTTGTAGCTATAACTGGTTTAAATGCAACACGTGAAGTGTCAGTGAAATCTTGAATTGCGTAAATAGACAAAGTTTCCAAAGTTGGGTTTTGTTCTAGTTTGTCCTTTTCGAGTGTTTGGAGTGGCGGATGTCTTCCTTCAAGTTGAGGGCAGGGTTCTTAATATTACTAGCAGTATGTAGCATTATGAAACAGTAACTGTAGCACAGCTGTTTTATTATGTTAAGCCTGGCTGGTTACCAGGATTTCTCAGAAATGGCAAATATAATTTGCCAAAATGGCATCCATATGCACTAATGTATTGCCAGTTTTTTTGGGCGTGCTGCCACAGTCTGTGCTGTCCCAACAGTTTTTCACCACGCTCAGAATTTCAAATGACTCAGTATTGGCAGTGCTGGTATTTTGAGTAAACAAATCTGATATGTGGGGAGTCCTCCTTTTGAGATGGGCTTTCACAGCGTGCAGCGGTTGCTCAGGCCAGTCTCCGAATTCTTCTGTAGGTTGTGTTGCTCTCTTCAAAAATTTGTACTCCACCTGTCTGGCTTAATGGCTTTCTTGTGCTCAAGTGGAAGAGGGCAAGAGGAAAATCTATATGCATAGTTGGACTTGATTCAGTGTTAAGAGATGAATTACCATTTCCATTGGTAAACCTCAAATTATCTCCCTAGTGTTTTTTCTTCAGGTTCAAAAGGAAAAAATCGGCTGATCTCTTGGTATTCATTGTCCATCTCTTTGTGGGAAAGCACAGATATGAATGGTTCCAGTGATTTTTTAATTCAATTTTACAGGCTGAAGGTTTCTCTTAAAACACTAATAAATAACCTTGACAGACAATTTCAAGGGAGCAGGACTGAAAAATATTTTGGCTTTAAAATCAGGACCATATTCTGAAAGTAATTTCATCAGAATCTAGCTGCAGAAACACCAGGCCAGTTCAATAGCCAAGAAAAAAAGTCAAGTTGTGCTTCAAGTCTAGTTATAATTAGCTGTGAGGAAGTTCCCTGTTCTCACTGAATGTTTATGAAGTTTTGAGAGGCCTGTTAAGATTCATACATTTAAGGATCTTGTGTGCATATAGATCTGTACAGAATGCAGTAATTGCAAATCTGATGTGGTTCTGGAGCTTCGTATGCTTTTGTAACATCAAGACTAAATACTAAAGCCTGATCGCTTCCAAGAGCTTAAGTAATTTGTAAATTAAAACCCTGCAATTTCAGAATGGTCTTGTATGCTCTTGAAACTTCTAAAACAAAAAATCAATTTAAAAGAAAATATTTCATTTTGTAGTTTATACTGATGAGCTGCCAAATCTCTGAAACTAAATATTCTCCTCATCCAGTGGGAAAATGCAGAAAGGTGGATCAGCAAAGAAAGCCTGAACTCTTGTCTCAGTCCTAGTACAGAAAGATTTACTCACAGAGGTGATGCAGGTCCTTTGCTCTTTGAGGAGGCTGCTGGATAATGTAGCAGTTGATACCACTGGATGATCACTCTGTAGGCTGGTCACTTACGTTAGGAACTGCATTTCCTTTTATAGAGGAAGAATGAAAAAATAAAGGCAGTATTGATGTATCAAATATATCTGTATTAACACTGTTCTTGCTGCTGTGTTTCAGGATTGCATGACTTGTAAAATTACTTATCTGGGGACCTGCAGTGGTGTTTGACTGGATATTGCTGCCTGGTTCTGAATGATGTCAGAACACGATTTGGCAGATGTTGTTCAGATTGCTGTTGAAGACTTGGCTCCAGATAACCCAGGTACAGTAGAGATGGTAGTGATGTCATGAGAAAGATAATTTATGGTATTGCTCGTTAACAAGGTGCAAATTACTGTTGAGCTTTTCTTAAAAATATAAAGCACTGCTGCAGATATTTTTTTGGAGAGGTGCTTCTTAAGACTCCATATCAGGTTTTCAATGGTTTAACTTGTATATTTTCAATACCCTTTCTATAGATCAGATTTTTTTTTTTAATTTTTACTTTTCTTTTAGAAGTTTTACCGCCGTTTTTTATGCAGGGGTAGACTAGTGTCAAAAACTTTGAATGAAATAAGGCCTCTGGCAATCTTTTGTTTTTCTCCAGACCCAAATACATGTTTTAGGCCTTCTCTCAAATGAGAACTATCACCCATCTATTATGAATTGTTGTTCTACTTGTAAAATAGTTTCTCTCATACATCATTAAAATTCTTTGTCAGTATAACAAAATTACAGTAAAACTGAAAAACACTTCTGAAAGCAAATAGTGTGATATCTTAGAACTTGACCTACTAAGCAAAACCATGTTGAGGTCAGCTACAGACACTGATCCTATGCTGCCTTTACACGTGAGTAACTGACTGAAAGAACAGTAACTACAGTTATGGAAAAGAGAAATATGTATCAAAAAAACTTGGATGCAAAACAAAAAATTTATTTCAGCGATGTTCCCAAAGAGTTGGAGGAGAAGCTGGGACCTGCCTGTCCTAGCCTAGCTGGTAACTTGGTGTTCAGGACTGTCAGCTGTGTTCTGGCCAACCTTACACAAGCCTGCCTCTGCTTGGTTTGGCGAAGGAGCTCGGACCTGGTCCGATCCCAGGTGATGCTCTGACTGGGAGGCTGATCAAGGCTTTACCTCTTGATTTTACCAGTCAGGCCTTCCAGTTCTCAATTCAGTTCTTCTTTGTTACTGTTTTCTTCAAATTGTTTCCCTTTAGATGAAAAGCTATTAGAAACTATAGGTCTGCATATATAAGTATTTATTTTGGAAAGCTTGCAGGATTTTGTTCATCTATACTGGGGAAAAATAACCTGCTACTACACTGAGTAGTGGGTATAATTCTACCTTTGTACATAACTTCATTAGTATTTTTATGGTTTTGTATATACACGAGGGTTCAGAAGCCTGTAGAATCTTGAAATCAGGGCAGCTGATGAGGCAACTCTGCTACCTCGTGGTAGGTTCCTAATAAAAAAATCCAAGGTGATGCTTGTGTGTTACATCCTCAGTGCATTTGCAACAAAGTCTTAGATTTGGATAAATGTTTTTTTGAGAAGCAGTAAACAGTTGTCATATATTTAAGAGAAAGCCCAAGTAAGTATAAAAGAATATATACAATATGTTAATTAAATTCCTTTTTTTTTTTTTAAATTTTATCCATTTAATGTATTTTTAATTTGTGCCTTGCCCTCTTGTGTTACAAACTATGGCAATGCTTATTTTTCTTTGCAGTTGTGTTGGAGAATCATGAAGTGACAGACGATGATGTAGAGCCTGCTCTGAAACGTCAGCGTATAGAAATTAACTGCCAGGATCCCTCTATTAAGGTTATAATAATGCCTTTTTCTGTTTTGGTTTTTTTTTTTTTTTTTTTCATAATACCAATTAACTTAGTACTCTTATATTAAAAGATATTGAAAGAGAAGAGCATAAAATAAAATTTTTATACATAATACTGGAATTATTAATGGCCTTCTTGTAAATGTTTGTTTATTCTTGTGCATAAATCTTAAAGTATGGAGGAATGGCTAATTTACTGGTATAAAATCAGAAGCAAGAATTTGATATGCAATATAAAATGTCACCAGAAGTAATTCCAGTGTCTCATCATTATTGGTACACTTTTTGATGAAGTGAATAAAGTTGAACTAAAAGATAAACTTGAGCATGTATTAGTATTACAATTTGTAGATACTTTCAGCATGTTTTAAATTATTATTTTAATTAATTCTCCAGCATTCTTGTAATAGTTAAACCACCTTTGGTTCAGACCCGGTAGCTCAGGCTTTTCAGTACATGCAGAACTTCCCCTGCTGTTCTCACCAGTGTGCTTCGGGTCATTTGGGTTTTTTTTTTGGTCTTGGAACATACGTATATGAGTAGTATTTTACTGCCACACACATTAAATAGTATGTGATTCTGTATTTTTGAAATGGCCATAGAAACTGAAGCTCTGTATTGAAAGAGCATGGGGGAGCAGCACTATAAACCACCTTGATTTGGTGTGTAAATTGTAATGAAGGGCCACGAGATGGCATAGTTGCTGTTTGCAAAGGAGAACGTGTGTAACATTACCCTTTAATGGTCTGTTTTTCCCAAGAGAAACTTAAGTAGAATATGCTTTATTTTGAATAAAATTGCTTAGGAAAACAGATTGTATTTATTTGCTTTTCTTGATTGGCTGTTCAGGAGAATACTTAAGTGAGCGGCATCAATTGTCTCTGAGGTTATTTGTGTTGATATCATTTCCACTGTAATTATCTGAATTTATCTGTTTGGGCAGGAAAAAAATCTTATTTAACTTTATCCAGGAGGATGCGTTCATAGAGTTATAATCCTTTTGTTTTTACATGTATCGAATGAAAGGCTTTGGCGTGTCATTTGAAATGATTTTGTGGCATATGAAATCATACTAACAAAGTGCTTAGGTGAAAATGTGTTTGGCTCGGGTGCTTTTGGCTTCTAAATAAAGATCTGGAAGAATTTGAGAATGCTAAAATGCTCCTGGATGTCATCAGTTTTGTTCGTGGCTGAATTTTGTCACTAGGCACACTGCTTGTTCCTTTTGAATTGTTTTCCAGTCACATTTATCTGGAGCTTCCTTATGTGTATATTGCTGAAGATAAATGTGTAAGTCTTTAAAATCAGTTTCTTTTGCATTCTCCCCTTTCTAGTCATTCCTGTATTCCATTAATCAGACAATATGCCTGCGGTTGGATAGCATTGAGGCGAAGTTGCTGGCACTAGAGGCTACCTGTAAATCACTGGAAGAGAAGTTGGATCTTGTCATGAACAAACAGCATAGCCCCATCCAAGTCCCCATGGTGGCAGGTTCTCCTCTTGGCGCTACACAGACGTGCAATAAAGTACGATGGTAAGAAAAGAACAGATTACTCATCAATGTGCTTTTTAAAAATAACGTAAATCCGTTTCTTTGGCATCAATCTCTGCAGCTTTCTGTATAGCTGTCAAGATCCTGGTATGGTGTTTGTGAATGTAGAATGAATTTATCTTGAAGGTAATTTTTGTACCAGTTTCATGATGTTACTTAGAATGAGACACTGGTCCATGGACAGTTTGCAATTATTTCCACATTTCATTTTGACTTAAACCAGACTGATTCATCCATCCTCTGGAAAAGTCTCATCAGCTATTTTAGACAGGTTTTTTAGACTTTACTTTTATTTATGTGGCTGTTTTGAGTTAATGAGTTCATCATCATTCTAATTGCTTCTCATTTTACCTTTATTCACCAGAAGTACAATGGAGTTTATGTGCTTGTTTTCTAAAGACTCTTGCTAGAATAATATCTGTGTTTATTTTGGGGTTGGAAGTTGGAGATAGAAAATCTGTTAAATAATCTAATCCACTTCATGAAGGAGCAGGTTTGACCTGCAGTACCTTTATATATGAGTTGCCTAATATGGTTTTAAATGTCTAAATCTTGACGTGCCTGTCATTTTACAGTGGAGATGATTTCAGCCAGAGAAATATTCTTATCAAAAGACTCTTTTGTCTGACAACTTTTTCTTCCTCACTTGTATTTTTGCAGCTAGGAAAAACTTATTGAAATAATTACCTTTTATTCTCCTTTACAAAGGTATATAGGCAACGTTCACATGTCATACTGTTCTAGTCAGGATATACTAATTTAATTAATACTTTGTCAGTCTGTTTTTCCATCTTCTGATCTTTCATCACTCTCTGAAATTTCCCAGTATCTGAAAATAATTTTGAATATATTTTTGGTATGTTGTACTCAGTGCAGTGTTTCAGGTGCACTACTTTAGAGCTTTATAGAAAAAAATATTTCCTTGCTTTATGTTGTGGGACTCATCCATGTGAGGTAAGGGGGAGGGGGAAAAAAATCCTCAAACATCACAAACATTACCCTTTTTCTACTAGGCCACTACTTGCTCCCTGCTGTATTTTTTTTTTTTTTTAAGTATCGCTATTTTTATAATAGTTACTTTAAGTTAAAAAAAATCTATCTCAAGGTCATAAGTGCATTTTATCATGATATCTTTCAGTTCATGCATTTGTGAAACAGGATGGATTATAGCCTTACTACCATCAGAGTTCAGAGTTGGAGTCTTCTATGCAGGAGGGTTATGCTCTGCTCACGTAGCTGTACTTGTTGCATGATTCAGACTGTTGCCTCACAGTTGTTCATTGAGTGTGACTACTTCTGATGAATGCAGTCTAATCATTTTAAAAGATACCTCATTTGTATTTAAAAATCTAAAATTATACAGAACTTAGTGTGCTTATTGATCTCTGTTTTAAAAGTTCAAATGTTCTTTATATTTTCAGTGTAAATCTGAGTACTCTTTGTTCCTTTAGCTGGAACAGTCACCTGTCCAGTTAGGAACAGCTGATGTGTCCTCATGTCCTCAAACTTTTCCAAAACAACTTCCCTTTGTAGATGGTTCAAGTACAATATTTGGGCCCCAGTTCAGAATTCTTTTATTGGTCTTTGTTCTTGTGCTGATCATGAACATCCTGACCATTGGTCATCCTTCTTTTCCCTTTTTAATTTTTCTTTAGAATAGGTGCTGTGTTTACATTTACCTAAAGGTCAATGATAGTTAAGTTCTGTATCAAAAGAAATAAAGTACATGGAATAACTATTTGGATAATAGAGCAAGTAACTAGAATATTACACCAGTGTCTTCACTAAATACTCTTTATCAATAATTATTTCTCAAGGAACTTCCTTTAAATCTGTTATTCTTTCTTTCTCATTAGAGATCTTCAAGTTCTTGTGCATAAACTGAACTTCTTACTGTGGTTAGTGCACAAAAAAATTCAGAAACATTTTCAGAAATACATGGCCCCGTTGGGAATCTGTTAATTCATATTCAGTGAATGCTTTCCTCCATAAGTGGTACTATTTTGAGTTCCTTATGGGATTTGTCAGACTCGAGGCTTTTTTTTTGTTTTAATCTCTGTAACAGTCGGAAATCTGTCCTGTGTGTTAATGGCGAACTTGATGTATAATCTTTTGGTTTGGGTGTACAAATTTATGATGACAGCTCCTCGGTCTGAACATAATTTAGATAGAAGTCTTGAAGACTGTAAAATTCTCTGCCCCAAATATTTGTTAGTGTTGGTATGAAGTTGCACTTTATCAAATGCATCTTGCCAATAAAGAACTGAGGGCTTTTTGTTCTTTTAGCAGTCTGTGGCCTATATGACTCAAAATAAAATAGTTAGGGATGTATGTGTTTAACTTGGCTTTAGTAACACTTCAGTTTCACAGGGGTAGAATGTTTCACTGAATTCCCTGTCTCATTCATAAAAACCTTTATCACTTGTTGATTATTTCCAAATAAAGCCCGTGTGGACTGTTCTGTTGTATCAACTCTGTGTCGTTCCCTCTTCCCCTTACGTTGCAGATGGCAGTGGAGAGCTGCCAACAGGAGTTAGTGTTTTGGATAGTGATTTTCAGATTCCACATCTGACTGAGATTCTTCAACCTTCTTCTGCTCCTTCTGCCACTACAATAATACCGGGTTTGCCACTCTAACAAAAGAGTTGTAGTTGGCAAAAGCACGTCAAACAGAAGGTGCCACACCACCAGTAAAGCAGACTTTTATTCTTCTTTCGATAAATACCTTAGGGTTTGTGATCTGTTCCACTCCTGTGAATTTTGTTTACAGTTTTTCTGGTAATTTAGTTACATTAATTAGGTGCAGGTTTAACAATCAAAATTTGTTTTACAGCACCACAGGTAGTAGAGTGTATGAACTGTGCATTGGAAATTCACACAGTTTGATTGCTTTGTGCTATTTGTGCTTTTAAAAATCAGTTAATTTAACTAAGACTTGTTAGTTTGAAATACGCTTAAGTGATTGTGTGATGAAAAGAAGGACAACTTGGACAGAGGAGCTTTCTTCTGTGTCATCTTGTGGTAGAATTGTGTAGTTACAGCATACCAGGTGCACTCACAGCTGTGTACTGTGGCCTGCCTTAACTATGATGCAGAATTTTACGCTTTGTCCAATGCTGTACACTGGCTGCTTATAAAATGGAGTAAGAAAGTATAATCTGTCTATAGCTGCATTAAGGAGGCAGGAGTACAGTTGTCAGATTTATGTTCAGTGATAAGTTGTTTTTTCTAGTAAACTTAACACGTTGATTTATTGGGATAACACATATCTTTTTTTGTGCCAAACTGTTGTTTCCAAGTTTTAAAAATTGTTATTAGGGAAATGAAGCAGAAATTTTCAAGGAGACTTGCAATAAATCAGGAACCACCCCATGTTATTAGCTCCCAGGACAGAAATGCAGTGCATTTTAGAGTCTCATTCTGCTTTCCATCTCTTTATTAAACACATGAGGAATGATATGTGTGGAAATCTTCCAACATCCTTTTCTGGATATGTGATTTTTGAAGGCTTGCTGATGTTTCTTGGAAAACTACGAAATGTTGAATTCTGAAATTACAGCACTGTCTACTGCTCTTGATATTTTGTGTAAGTACATCTTCATGAAAGCTGGATTGTGTTCTTAATTCTTCTGTTCATATTGTTTACTCTGATCTGCTGTTACGGTACTTCATTATATACTAGCTAATTGCAGTGCAGATAAGGAAGAAAATATAGGGTGCGTCGTGCTGTGTGACAAATAATTAGTAGGAACAGTTGAGATACAGAGAAACAGTAGGGAAACTTGAAGATCTCCAAGTAAGAAATTTAAGCTGCAGCAAAAATTAAGAGGAGAAGACTTCTTTTGAAAGGAAGTCATTCCGAATTTGTGAGATGTAAACTGTTTTGGGGGAAACAGCAATAGGCCATAAACAATACGGAAAGACTTGTAGCTGTTGCATTTCAGTAAATCATCACATGAAAAGCAGAACTAAACAAGTGTGTTCTCGTACAGGTTTTTGTCCTACGGCCTTTCCCTTTTCAGTGGACCAGCCTTGTGTTTCCCATATGGTCCATGACACTCCCTGCTGTGGGATTTTGAAATCTTCTGTGCTGCTCTTGTGATAGTAGCATATGCAACTGCTGGACCTAGCTGCTGGGGGGCAATGGCTGAGACCTCTCTGACTTTCTGCTAGTGGGGTGTAGCATTTGGGCTTCTCCTTAGCCCAGCCTCAGATTTTAATAGGTGTTTACTATCTCTCAGACCTCATTTTGTCAGATTTGCTTGTAAGAGTGCAAAGTATTAGTTGGGATTGGAGAAACAACAGCTTGATGTTAAATCTCATTTTCTCTGAGGAGGAAAAAAAAAAAAAAGTTTTAGAAAGTATTTTCTCAATGTTTAGTGGCTGCTGCTGAAAACTATGTAGTTGTTAGGATTACCTACAAAGACATAGTGTTAATAAAGTTTTAAAAATTTCTTCCAAGAAAGAAAGGCTGTCAGAAGGTTTCAGAACTATTAGAATGGATGGCAAAAATCCTTAGATTGCACAGAGTTATGTTGAACTATATGGAACTTGAAAAGAGCCAAGAACAGTAGCAAAATAATGTAATAAATTCATAATGGGAGTACGTGTATTGTCCTGGTGTTCTGAGCTTTGTCCGGCTGTGTGCAGCATTAGTACAGCCCTGCTTTTCCATCCAGGAAGTGATTGTCTCTCTTCCTCTGTCTGCAACATTTCCTGGCAGTATGGCCATTAAAAACCTCTAATTTCTTTTCTTTATGAGGTACCATGCTGGTCAAAAACTTCCAGTAGCTGCTGAAAGTTTCTTGGATAGGAGAATTGGTGCGATGCCTGATGGCCTGTCAGTATGACAGCCTCAGATGATAAGTTTGAAATTTAACATGTGCCCAGGTCTTGAGATTTATAAATTGATGAACACACAGTGTGACAGTGCGACTAAAATCTTTTATCCGTGTTTTAAAGCAAATATTTCATCTGAAATA